TTCAATCTAAATGTTTTATATAATTAACATATAATAAATAATATATAATTATATTACATTATTTATATTTATAAAAAATTAAACCAAGAAATAGAAAAATGAAATGTCAAACACAAAGTAATAAAAGAAAACTATAAATATTAAAAAGTAACGAAAGAAATCAGAATACGTAAATACATAAACATAAATAAAAAAGAAAAACAAAAGTTGGTTGGACATTGCACCAACACGTGTTTGTGTTACATTGAACAATTTTTTTTTTTTTTTTAATAAAGTAGAGGTTGATGAGCGCAAATACTTATGTGTGTCCTGACACACATGTTCATTTTATAAAGTAACATGTTCATTTTATAAAGTAACATGTTCATTTTAAACTATCTTGGTACACCTTGCTAGGTGTGCCAAGGCACACGGTAACAGCACTGGTTTATGAGAGAAGTAACATTGAAAACCGGTATGGGGGTTTCAAACCCCAATGTTGTCCTTTCTAATAGAAAAGTTGTGACCAGCAAAATTTTAAACCTCATGAATAGGAGATATACCCTAATAAATACAAGAGACCTAATACTTAATATTGAATAATATTATAATATATAGTTATTATTTGAATATCACTCTATAATATTAACAAAAATTCGTTTAAAGAGGAAATACGTGAACATTCCTACAGTCATTTTAATCATCTTTCTACACGAAAATAAAATAAAAAAAAAATCTTAAAAAATCTTAACATGAAGTATCCACACAAATAAAAATTCTAAACAAACAACCTAAAATAATTTAAAATTCAATATTCTGACATAATTTAACATTTTGAATTTTAATTTGAATTTACCGTCTCATCACTTAATTATATATAATAAAATATTTTTTAATAACTAAATCTCATAATTATGGTATTCTTATGCATATACATATAAACATTACTTAACATAATTAAATTCTTTTAAGTAGGACACACGTGTACATCTAATACTCAAATAATCTACAAAAAAAAAAAAAAAAAAAAAAAAAAAAAAAAAAGAAAAAACAAACCAAATAATTTATTATTGAAAACCTTTAACCTTATCTTATCATCAAATCAAAATTTGATATTTGTCAAACTCATATTTTAAATTATTTAATTAATATAAAACCAATTGTCCATTCTTATAAATTGCAAACGTAGGACATCACCTGCCACAACTCATTTCATACCCTCAGTAATTTAGCATACCAACAGGGAAATGACAAAAGCATGGGGCAACATCAAGCGAATAACAAAGACCAACATATGATTAAGCTAATAGTGATTTGAATTTTTGAAAGGCCGTAATGAATACTTTCCTACAAGAACATCGTTGAAATTGTCTTTCATGACACTGAGGTATGATACACAATCAAACTTAATAATCAATTCTCATTCTCATTCTCATTCTCATTTTTTTCCTGCTTTTAATTTTTAATGTTATATTTTTTTTTTTTTTACATGGGGGTCGGATTTCAGGAATAATAAGAGCAATAAACATCCCAAGTTTAGTTAATAAATTCAAAGAAGGTGATGTCCATGCAATTCAGAACTATCGATTTAGAGTAATATTGGCATGTATAGTTCAACCTGCACAATATAGGTTAATTTTATTCACGGTGGAACTGAACACATAAGGTACAAAGGCGACTTTCTAATTTTCTGTTTCGACTTTAGAAGATACATCATACTATATGATATCGAGAAGATCAATGAATCAATGCTATTCGGTAATTACACATATTTCCATAGGTTTGACATTTACAACAGTCAACACATAAATTTTTTTTTTTTTTTGGTACATTGAAAGAGGTCGAGGCCTAGGAAGATCTACGTCAACACACGACGTGGGTGGGCCACCCCTACCCTATCATGATTCAGCCAGTGTCCAAGATCCGGCGGCGGAGCATGAAGACAATGATACCCAACCGAAACACCAGTCGCCAGCGACGCTAACTTATCAGCCGAGAAATTTTCTTCCCTATAGATATGGGACACTCGAACACACCACTCTTTCCTGATTAATTCACGAATAGCTCGAATTATGGTTTCATGGAGGCCAAGATTATCCTCAGCCCCCAAGACCATGACAACGACACTACTGTTGTCCACTTCCACTAACACATTCCGAGCTCCCAAATCCCAAGCCACACAAAGCCTATGATATAGCCCCTAAAGCTCCGCCCGAGTGATAAAACAGAAGCCCACATTTATAAGGAACCCGCCCAACCAACGACCAAGGTAATCACGAGCTAGCCCTCCAGCACTACCCCTTCCCGAGGCCGGACATAGTGCACCATCCGTATTAACTTTAGTCCAGTTCGCCGAAGTAGGGGACCAACGAACCATTAGCAACTCATGGCTTCGATCAACCACACCAACCGCTTGGGCAAAAGCCAAGCTGCACAAATGTTTATCCACACGCCTCATGATATTCAAAAGCTGTGTCGCTAAGGGCACAGAAGTGTTCGAAAAAAGTGCCAAATTACGCCAGGCCCATAAACGCCAACAGTTGATAGAGAAAATAGAGGCCCAATTTTCTATCTCCACCTGAGAATCCATCAAGTTCGTCCACATCCAATCTTGAACATCCTGAAAGAAGAATTCCCTCCAATCAGCACTCGGAATAAGCTCGAGCCATACACGCTGGTAACACAAAACTTCCCGACCGAGTGGAACTTGAATAATCGTCTTCCTTCTCGCCGATTGAACGTCGTACACTTACAACTGCAAATCCTTACAATTTGGTCTCCAAATCTCCAGAATCACCTACGCCTACGGTTGTCCAAAGCCTAGCAAATTATTGCCGGTAACCCCCACACGTCACGTGGCCATAAGCCCTACCTCACTACTTACATCAGCCATCCCATGATTTTTCACCTCTATAAAAAAAGGGATCGAAATGCGAATTAGTTACCCACACAAATATAATTTTCCTAATTGTTAAGGTCGAAACTCGAAATAGCAAAGAAATAAAACCCTCGCCCAGAAAACAATGGCGAAAACCGTGAAAGCAGTTGGATGGGCCGCCCACGACTCCTCCGGCCATCTCTCTCCCTTTAAATTCGCCCGGCGAGAGACCGGCGAGCGCGACGTGCAGTTCAAGGTCCTCTACTGCGGGATCTGCCATTCGGATCTTCACGCCATTAAAAACGAATGGGGCTTCTCCAATTATCCGATGGTGCCGGGCCACGAGATCGTCGGCGTCGTCACCGAGGTCGGATCCAAGGTCCAGAAGTTTAAGATCGGCGACAAGGTCGGCGTCGGGTGCATGGTTGACTCGTGCCGGAAGTGTGATCTCTGCGTCCGGGATCTCGAGAACTACTGCACCGGCGGCGCCCTCTTCACCTACGACTGCGTCGAGCCTGACGGATCCAGGACCTACGGCGGCTACTCGAACCTCATGGTCGCCGTTGAGGACTTCATCATCCGCTGGCCGGACAATTTCCCGCTCGACAAAGGCGCCCCTCTGCTCTGCGCCGGGATCACAACCTACAGCCCTCTGAAGAGCTTCGGGCTCGACAAGCCGGGCCTCAGAATCGGCGTAGTAGGACTGGGCGGTCTGGGCCACGTGGCGGTCAAATTCTCCAAGGCCTTCGGGTCCAAGGTCACTGTCATCAGCACATCCGCCGGTAAGAAGGCGGAGGCCCTTGAGAAATTGGGGGCGGACGCATTCCTGATCAGCCGCGATCCGGCGGAGCTGCAGGCGGCGGCCGGGACCTTGGATGGCATTATTGACACCGTCTCGGCCCCACATCCGATCCAGCCCCTGCTGAGTCTGCTGAAGCCCGAAGGGAAGCTGGTTGTGGTTGGGCTGCCGGAGAAGCCGCTCGAGATCCCACCGTTTTCGCTGGTGACGGGGCGGAGGGTTGTGGCCGGGAGCATGATCGGCGGGATTAAGGAGACTCAGGAGATGATTGATTTCGCTGCGAAGCATAATATCTTGCCGGACGTGGAGATGGTCCCCATTGACTATTTGAACACGGCCATGGAGAGGCTCGCGAAGGGGGATGTCAAGTATAGGTTTGTGATTGATATTGGGAACACGCTGAAAGCCGAGTGATTGACTTAGGCTCGGCTCGGCTCGGCTTGTTTTTGTGTGTGGTGGATGAGTGGAGCTATTTTGGAGAAACTGATTTTCTGCCTTGTGTTTGTTGCTGGGTTTGGATTTGTTGTTGTTACTGTTATGTTATGCTTGTTATGTTATGTTATGTTATTTTTATTATGCATTTTGTTGTTTGATGATCCTTGAATAAAATGCAGTTTGCAAAACCTGTGACAACTGTTATCCTTTGTAAGTTTGACATGATTTGTGCTTCAGCCTATTCCATATCAAGATGTACTAATGAAATGATTTTGATATATAGTGGTAGAAGCAAATTGTGTTACTTGCAACACTAGTTTGTAATGTGTACTTTGGTAATCAAACATGTGAGTGATAAAGGAGCGTTGAAGGTAGGCTGTGGTTGTGCTTCTGTTCTTTGTTGTAGTTCATTAGAACATCCAATATATTCAAATAGAAGTAAACCGAGTCTTGCTGATGTGGTAGCAAGAAAGAAAAGATATGGTCTACTACCCTTTAGTCTATTTTAGACCAAAGTAGAGATCTAGTCTTTTTGCATTTGAGAGAAATTTTTGTTAATTTTACATAATTTTATCTCGTGTTATCCAAGACTTAAGTTTATTTATATGCCACATAGGCAAAATTAGACTCAATGCATTGTAAATACTTTTAAATGATTTATTTTTTTGACAACTAGATTTAGCATTTACACAAATCCAAGACGAGAATATTGCAATTAATACTTGTACCGCGGATAAATTACAAATAATTTGTGATCACTCGGTAAACATAAATTTTGCCATTTGAATTTTGAGAACGGTAATTAGTTACTAGGAGAGGAGGGTTTGTTCCGATGGCGATTTTCGCGTGGTAGCTGATTGGTGTAGTCTGTAGAGTGCTAGGAGAGGAGGGTGTGTTTGGGTTTTTGAATCTTGCGTCCGACTTCAATATAGTTTAAAGTTTAGAGAAATGCTATGATCCTGTTACTATCCCTTCGTGTGTTTTAACAGTTAGATCATACATCTTATACTAATTACATGTGTATCTCACAGGAAACACCCGAGGATATGATACCGTAACGGAACCGTAGCATTCCTTGTAAGTTTAATGGACTATTGCAACTTTGTACTGTCCGGTCCGTTGGAGTAGGGCTTTTAAGTTGTTTTGTTGGATCCAATATATGCTTATACTAATTTTTACAATTTACGAATGGTTGATTTGTATTTTATTTTTATCACTAATTTTTTTATTGTATTATTTTTTATTTTATAACTCATTTATAAATAGTCGGATGCATAGTTTTATTTTAATTGCATATTTTCACAAAAACAATAAAAAAATAACAAACACGTAAAAGGACACAAGATATATCATTGGTCTAAAGTTTTGAATCATATACATGTTAAATAGGTATACGTTATTTTTTAATTAAAATTCATTAATGATAAATAAGATTAAAATATTTATAAAATAATATCCATGTGTAGTAGAGAGGCTGTTTTGGAGACTGATGCTTGCTACTCTAGATTGGGAGCTGATTTAATGCAGGAAGCCATCCCATAGCCTATCTTAGCAAGCACTTGAAGGACAATTTTGCTATGAACGTTTTATACACGTGTATAGTTTACTTGTTGTATATAGAAGATTGACTCCACTATGAAGCTAATTGTTGCCTGTTGGTTTTATAGCAAAACTGTTTGAAGGAATATCCATTCGCGAGGAGTAGTTTTCGGCCCTCATAGTGGGCGTGGAAAAATCGAGACCTTACTTTGATTCATAACTGATATGGATATGAATTCGACTCTCATAATTTCCTCTCTATTTTCTCCCCAAATTTTTCACTTCTGTAATTTTCTCGCTTTCATCCTTACGATGTCCAAATTATGTTTCGTCAATGATTTACATTAGAATGGTCCTCTTTTATCTTCTTCTTTCTTTTAAAAATGAGAATTAATAGTGTTCTCACTTCTCCTCTGTGACTCGAACCTATCGGTCATCGGTGAAGCGTCTTACCCTTAAGCTGCACTTCGTTGGTTTCGTTGTCACGGTAGAATAGTCCTTGCATCATCTATAACGAATGCCAAAAAAAAAAAATTATTATTTCCAGATCAAGAAACTTATTCCATTCCTAAATTTTAAAGAAGGCATAATTCTGTTCTTACAGTTTGATCCTTTTCTTGTAAGTGATCAAACATTCTTAAACACAACATATTATAATCATCAGCCATCTGTATTATACTTTTTGCCTGCAGCAGCCAACACGCAAGAATCTGATTTTATCTTCCTAAAAAGTTAAGCAACAGAATCAACCAAAGTTCATTACATGCCTACAAATTCTCTGCTTTTCCTCTCATCAACTCACCCCTAATCATCAACTCCTTCAATTCTATAGGATTTTCCCTCCACCAATGTCTCGCATCTCGAAATTCTTTCTACCTTGTACCCGCGGAATCTACAACACGTTGTTGAAATTTACTATCAACGTCTTCAACCTCATCTCATCACTCATTCTATCACCATCCCACGAGCACGACCCCAAACCACCAAAACCCGGATCCCCTGAAACGGAGCATCCGGTTCCGGCATTCGGGTGGGCCGCCCGGGACACGTCTGGAGTTCTCTCTCCTTTCATGTTCTCCAGGCGGGCAACCCGAGAGCGAGACGTGCAGTTCAAGGTATTGTATTGTGGGATTTGCCACTCGGACCTCCACCAGGTCAAAAACGAGTTCGGTATAGCCATTTACCCGATTGTGCCGGGCCACGAAATAGTAGGAGTGGTTACGGAGGTCGGGTCCAGAGTCGAGAAAGTCAAGGTCGGGGACAAAGTCGGGGTTGGGTGCATGGTCGGGTCGTGTAGGAAATGCGACCAATGCGCTGATCATCTTGAGAACTACTGTCCTAAAGCGGTAAGCTTAATTGTATAAAATTTTCCTTACTCAGAAAAAATTGCTAAGGAGGGTGTATTACTTTTTAAAACTTCAAGATTATGATGATGTATTCAATTGAAACTTCTTTAAATTTCTAAAAACTCTCCATGTATTCAATTGAAATTTTCTAAAGTCTCAATAAGTCACGTGGTAGAGAAAATTGAAATTTTAGTCCAGTAACTTAGGTTGTTTCCTATTTTAGTCCACTAACTTAGGCCGATCCAAATTTGATCCAAAAACTCCCAAATGTTAGTTAATCAGTCCAATTTCGGTCCCTGTCCCCGAAATTGATTGGTCAATTTCAGTCCAATTTTAGTCCAATTGAACTAATTTAACTAACTTTTGGGAATTTTTGGACCAAATTTGGATTGGCCTAAGTTAGTGGACTAAAATGGGAAACAACCTAAGTTACTGAACTAAAATTACAATTTTCTCCACGTGGTATTAAAAGAATTGGAACCACTTTATAAGACTTTAAAATGGAAGACTTTTGGAGATTTTTTTTAATAAAATCACAAAGACAGAGTCTCAACTCATTAAATAGTGAAATTTGGTTGTCAAAGTCTCTAAGAGCATGATTAGATATAAATTTGTTTTTGTTTTGATTGGATTTTTTATTTGGGTTGGTTAAATTTGAAAAACTAGGTATAGTTAGTTGTTAGTGGATATAATAAAATAATATTTAAAATAAAATGATTAAAATTAAATTGATGTAAAAGTAAGAGAAAGAAGATGTGATGTGATAGTTAATTAAATTTATGTGAGTAGATGAATAGTGAATTAAGGTTGATGTTGTGTGTAAAAATGATTGATTGATATTATTTAATTATATTGATAATATTGATGATAGTGGGCTGAGTTAAAATTGAGTTAAAAAAAAAATGGTTGAGTTAAAAATGAAAAAAATTTTGGGATTGAATTTGTATCCAATCATGCTCTAAATGTCTAGCAAAGACCTTAAAATTTTACAAAACCCACTCACTCATTTTAAAAAGTCTTAAAATATTCTTAAAAGTGCCAATTGAATACAAAATTAACCAAAAATCCCGTCCCTCTCGATAGATCTTCACCTACTCCAGCGTGGACACGGACGGCACAGTAACCTACGGCGGCTACTCCAACATCATGGTGGCCGACGAGCACTTCATCGTCCGCTGGCCGGAGGCCCTACCCCTCGACCGGGGAGCCCCGCTCCTGTGTGCGGGGACCACCACATACAGCGCTCTCCGCTACTACGGCCTCGATCGGCCGGGCCTCCACGTCGGCGTCGTCGGGCTCGGCGGGCTGGGCCACGTCGCCGTCAAATTCGCCAAGGCCTTCGGGGCACGCGTCACGGCCATCACCACCTCCCCAGCCAAGGGCGCCGACGCCGTCCGCACGATGGGGGCCGACGACTTCATCCTCTCCGGCGGGGAGGCTGCCGCCGCCGCCGCGGCGGGCACCATGGACGGGATCATCGACACGGTCCCGGCGGCCCACGAGGTGGGCCCACTACTGGGGATGCTGAAGGTAGGGGGGAGGCTGGTGGTGGTGGGGCTGCCGGAGAAGCCGCTGGAGGTGGCGGCGTTCGCGGTGGTGGCCGGGCGGAAGGCAGTGAGCGGGAGCATGATAGGTGGGATGAGGGAGACGCAGGAGATGATCGAGTTTGCGGCCGAACACAATATAGTGCCTGATGTTGAGATGGTATCCATTGACTATGTGAACAAGGCGATGGAGAGGCTGGGCAAGGGTGACGTCAAGTACAGGTTCGTGATTGATGTGGGGAAGACGCTGAAAGCCGATTAATGGAACAATGTTATTAATCGTCATTGTAATGTGGGTAACTGTGTACATACTGTGTCATGTAATAATGTGAATATATATATACATGTATACATTCGAATATTATGGGTATTCGTATATAATTGATATATAAACATCAATAAAACTGTAACAAACGCATAAAATAGCTAGTACAATAGTTATCTGGTGTAAAACATACACGTACATGTATTGATGTATAGATAATGTTTTAAAATAATACCCACTGCTGCTAGATTTTTTTTTTTTAATGTAATTTTATTGTTTTCAAAGTTTTTCTTTTTTTTTTTTCCACAAATTCTTTGTGTTGAGATGTTTTGTAGAGAGGTTGATCACATGTTGCTTTTATTTTTTATTGTTTTGCTTTGTACAGCATGGAAACAGTTTTTTCTCTTTTCTTTTGTTTTCCTTTTGGCAGCTGGAAGTCGCTTTTGTTACCTACAAAAGCTTGTCTTGGTTTATCTTTTAGCTGGTACTCTTATTAGGTGACGTGTCCGATTGTAAGTTGTCATTATGGCTTCTTAGCTCGGTCCTTTATATTGTGCTTCTTCTTCATGTTTTGTAAGAATATTTTGTTACAGAAATTATCAGAGAAAATTTGTCCCAAAATGTTTTGAGTTTTTCATCTTTACATTGGTACCAGAGCAGGCTAAACAATGGCGCGCCATGGAGAAACAACTACCGTTGCCAGATACACGCGCGATTCAGATCCACTACTATTGCAGAGCTCGGATAATCCAGGAATGGTGCTAGTAAGCTTCCCGCTCACCGGATCTAATTACCTTCATTGGAGCCGCGCGATAAGGTTAGCGCTCGGAGCTAAGTCGAAACTAGGTTTTATATATGGTACAGTTGTTGTTCCTGATTCAGATTCAGAAGATTATCAACAATATCAAAAGGTTGAATTCATGGTGATTTCATGGCTTTTAAATTCAATCTCGAAGGAAATCGTTCAAGCTTTTATGTATGTTAAGTCTGCAAAGCAGCTATGGGATGAGCTTGCTGAGAGATATGGAGAATGCAATGGTCCTCTCCGATATCAGCTTAGAAAAGAGATTTCGAACTTTGCACAAGGTAATCTCTCAGTCACAAGCTACTATACCAAACTGAAGTGCCTTTGGGACGAGTATGCGTGCATAGTAGCTTTACCTGAATGTAATTGTGGTGCTGAAAAGGCTTACAGTGATCATGATTCAGAAACTAAACTCATGCAATTCCTCATGGGATTGAATGATGTATTTGAGCTGGTGAATAACCAAATATTGCTCATGGAGCCCTTTCCTACCATAAATAGGGCATACTCTATGATTCTCAAGGTAGAGAAACAGAAAACTGTTAACAACCAAGTGCAAGAAGGTTTAGATAGCTCAGTTATGTTGGCAAAAGGAGCATATGGAAGGGGAGGTGCTCATATGGGAAACTTTGGTAGAGGAAATGCAAGCATGGGAAATTTTGGAAGAGGAAATGCAGGCATGGGAAACTTTGGGAGAGGTGGTTTTGGTCAAAATAATAACAATGGAGGTAGAGGAAGAGGTCAACTCATACTCTCTAAGGAGGAGAGGGCAAAATTATACTGTGAACACTGTGGATACAATGGACATGAGATTCAAGGATGTTTTAAATTGAATGGCTATCCTGAGTGGTATAAGGAGTTCAAAAATAAAAAATCTGGGCAGCTTGCAAACATGGTGGAAGAACAGAATGTAAATGCAAAACCAGCTGAAACTGAGAGTGAGAAACATCATTCTATTGGACCTTTTGGTGATATTAGCTCATTGTTACAGAAGGAGATTGCAAAGTATATGGCCAATCAACAAACAACAGACTCATCTTCTTATTCCTATCATTCAGACTTCTCAGGCAACATCAACCACTTTGGTTTCTCTCTGATGGATAACATAGAAGAAAATAGTTGGATTGTGGATAGTGGAGCTAGTAGTCATATTTGTTGCAACTCTAAGCTGGTTGAAAGTTTCAGTACAGTCAGCATGCCTATAACAGTGAATTTGCCTAATGGAGCTAAAATTAAGGTGACAAAAGCAGGTGATGCCAAACTAAATGATAAGCTCATCTTAAGGAATGTGTTGATAATACCTGAATTTAGATACAATCTACTGTCCATTGGACAACTGACAGAAGAGAAAGGTATGACATGCACCTTTAACAAGGACAGATGTCAGTTGAGGGATTCTGAAAGCAAAGAGCTATTAGCAGAAGGAACAGCTCATGGAGGATTGTATATTATAAGAGGGAAAAGGTGTTTAATCAATCAAATTAAGGACAATTCTGAGAATCAAGAGCTAGAACTTTGGCACAAGAGGTTGGGACATAGTTCCATATCATGTATGAAACACATTGGTTTTCTGAAGGGATTTTGCAAGGAGCAGAAGATCAAACCTTGTGACATATGCCATAGGACAAAACAAAGCAGGTTGCCTTTCCAACTCAGCACAACCAAGGCTGGGAGTATGTTTGATTTGCTGCATATTGACATATGGGGTCCTTGCCATGATGATTCTATCTCAAATGTGTCATATATGCTGACTATAGTGGATGACATGTCAAAACACACTTGGATATTTCTCATGAAGTATAAGTCTGAAACTTATCTGAAGTTGAAATATTTTGTTAAATATGTCAAGGTGCAGTTTGAGAAATGTATAAAGCAGATAAGGACAGACAATGGCTCAGAATTCTTAGGACATGAGGTACAAGGTTTGTTCAAGGAAAAGGGAATTCTACACCAGAGAACTTGTTCATACACTCCACAGCAAAATGGAGTGGTGGAAAGAAGGCACAGAACCATCTTGGAAATTGCTAGATCCTTGTTATTTCAGTCAAACCTTGAAAAGAAGTTTTGGCCCTACACTTTGTTATCTGCAGTACACATCCTGAATTCTCTACCCAGTGAGAGATTGGGGTGGAAAACACCTCATGAATTACTCTATGAGACACCACCAGATTACAGCAGGTTCAAAATTTTTGGATGCTTGGTTTATGCTTACAAACATGATCCTAAAAGGAAGAAATTTGATGATAGAGCTTTGGCTTGTATAAATCTTGGGAATTTTCCAGGTGTTAAAGGGTACAGACTATATGACTTGAAGGATGGAGATGTTTTTGTTTCAAGGGATGTGGTATTTCATGAACACATCTTTCCTTTTAAGAAGGGATTTCAACCAAATCCTCAGGAGCTCACACTACCAAATGCCATTGAAGAACAGGAGATGGATGACAACCATGATGGAGGAACTGAGGTCTTACCTGACATAGATGTTGATAAGTCAGCTACTAAGGATGATGAAACTGAATCTGAAGCAATTGAGGGTAAAAGATCAAGAAAGCCACCTGTGTGGCTGCAGGATTATGTCACTCACATTAAGCATGATGACATAATGCAGAAAGAATACAACTTGTTTATGACAGAGGTAGACAAAACAGCCACTGAACCTTCCTTTTATGGACAAGCTGTGAGAGATCCTAAGTGGATACTTGCTATGCAGAAGGAGTTAGATGCCTTGGAGGCAAATCATACCTGGAAACTCACACATCTTCCTGCTGGAAAGAAAGCCATAGGCTCTAAGTGGGTCTATAATATAAAGAGGAATCCAGATGGCACTATTGACAAATATAAAGCAAGATTGGTGGCAAAGGGTTACTTGCAAGTTGAAGGGGTGGATCTCAGAGAAAGCTTCTCACCAGTTGCAAAGCTGGTAACTGTAAGACTGCTCATTGCCTTGTTAGTTCAGAATGGATGGGTGTTACACCACATAGACATTAACAATGCCTTTCTACATGGCTTCCTTGATGAAGAAGTCTATATGTTGCCACCTCAGGGTTATCATAAGGCCAAAGCAGGAGAGGTATGTTTGCTTGAAAGGAGCTTATATGGGCTAAAACAAGCCTCTAGACAATGGAATTTGGAGTTTTCTGAGAAGTTGATAGCATATGGTTTCAAGCAGTCTATCTCAGATCATTGTCTTTTTATCAAAAATGATGGCCATGGATTTCTGGCTTTAGTCATCTATGTTGATGATGTGCTGATCACAGGGACTTCTCTTACTGCAATTCGGACCTTAAAATCTTACTTGGACAGGTTATTCACCATTAAGGACCTGGGAGTTGCTAAATATTTCCTTGGTTTGGAAATTTTTCCTACTGCTTTAGGTGTTCATCTCAGTCAAAGGAAGTATATAGTGGATTTGGTTAAGGATCTTGGGTTGCAAGACTCTAAAGCTACTGTGACTCCCTTTCCACAGGGATTAAACTTGTCCGCTCATCAAGGTTCACTTATGCATGATCCAGAACCCTATAGAAGACTTGTGGGGAGACTCTTATATTTGAACCTATCCAGACCTGATGTCTCCTATGCTGTTCAACAGCTTAGTCAATACATCAAAGTCCCCTTAGAGAGTCATTGGGCTGCAGCTTTACATTTAGTCAAATATTTGAAAGGCAGTTGCTCTTTGGGACTGTATTTTCCAAGGACTGAAGCTTTTTGTGATGCTGATTGGGGAACTTGTGCCCTTACAAGGAAATCTATTACTGGATACTGCATATTTCTGGGTGGTGCATTGATCTCTTGGAAAACCAAGAAACAAAAGACAGTCTCTAAGTCCTCAGCTGAGGCAGAATATAGAGCCATGGCTACTACTGTATGTGAGCTGCAGTGGCTTGTAGAGTTGGCCAAGGATCTCAACTTCCATGCAACACTTCCTGTTAACTTGTGGTGTGACAATAAAGCAGCTCTTCACATCACTGCCAATCCAGTTTTCCATGAAAGGACCAAACACTTGGACATTGACTGTCATGTGATCAGAAACAAATTCAAGGAAGGTGTTATCTTGCCACAGTACATTTCTTCATCTCTCCAACCTGCAGATTTGTTCACTAAGCCGCTGGGAGGTGTTGACTTCAGGTTCTTTG